CATTCTCAAATCTCATTCACTGAGCCTCCCTGCGAGCATAAACTCGCGTGCGAATGCGGCAAACAAAATTCACGCCTGAGATTCTCATGCATATTCACGCACTCACACTCACAACACCGAAAAATCATTCCAGCTTTAAACTCATAAAAACCACTCAAACGTCAATTGATATCATGCCTATGTTGTGTTAGTTTTCCAACCCCTGATGCGCAAACAATAGTAATAACAATGAATAACGCCAAAATATAAAGCAATGAATTTTTGAACCTGAAAACTCATCGGTGATTTTTGCGACGTTGAATTTTGCAAGGCAAAACTCATAGGCGCATAAACTCATGCGTGAAATTTGAGTTTTTGAGTTTTTTTTTTCCGAACACTGCATGGAACTTAAAATCAAATTTCATAAATTCCTCTAATTTAATCGAATCTCACAACGGATTCTCCTGTGAAGACCATTTGAAGTGATTTGAGTTATTTACTTTTGCTTACGTTATACATGATGACTAGCAAATAGTAATTCCCATTTTTTTATGATCTTGAATTTGATTCTGCGTCTGAAATCTTTAAAATTTTGATATATCTAGGTAGATAAATTTGATAATTCGCTACGAACTTTTCACAGAATTTCTTCAGAATGATCTCAAGAACATTTTTAGAATAATTCCCCTTCTCTTAAGCTTAGAGGCAAATAAGCTTTTAAAAAAATAATATTGTATTCTTGAAATTCTTTGCAGAACAATCAACAAACTTCTTGGAAATAGATTATTTTCGTAGTTGGAAATGCTTAACATCAAATATCAGAATTAAAGTGGACATTTTATACGATAGATGAGGAGATGAAAGCAAAACGTTGATAGTTCCGTTGTAGTACGGCAGTGTCAAATTTGTATATAGAAAGTAGAAAGTGAACAAAGGACAATTTTGAGGAAGGTACGAATCGGGTAGAGCATCTCCTTTACCAAGCTCATCCGTTAATGAGGGATGGTAAGGGGTGTAACCCCTGCCACCACTGGCAAAAGGGATGATCGCCGATTTGCTCATGTACCTCCGATGTGCGGAACAGTTCTATCGATCGTTTCACCATCTGACGTAAACAACTACCCGATTCGTACCTTCCTCGAAATTGTCCTTTGCTCACATTCTACTTTGTATATACAATTGATCATTTTGTCAAGCTTCTGCATTCATGTTCCATCAGATGTCACAGCTGTTGTTTGCGGTGACATCTATCGGAAACTAGGCACAATCTATTTTCCTATAATTGTTCACAGAGTACTGGTACCTCTATATATGCATTTAGATTATTGTTCGAAGTCCCTCCTTTTTTACACATTCTGCACACAAAATAGCTCACCCCTCACAGAATTTCCCGCCGAATTTTATGTATGGGGCGGGGCATAAAGTATCTTTTGCGCAGAATATGTAAAAAAGGATGGACTTCAAATGTTAAAGCAAATGCATATATAGATTTACCAGACATGTTTTGTATTGTCAGGTACTCTATTTTGTAATTTGTGAAAGGGAAATCACAAATCGAGTGTCAACAAAATACATGGCATGTTGAGAGATTGAGCTAGTGAGAGAGAATTTCTCTCTCAAATTTGAATTTTTTTGGCTCTCTGGGGACTGGTGGTAAAGCAGATAAAATTGTATGGGGAAAAATCATTTTTATTTAATTGTAGCTTGTTGAGCATTAATTTCCGGGAAAAAACTGAACGGCAAAGCCCCTGACTAATTTCTTTAGGTTGTCGTTCACTTTTTTTGACCTGAATATGCACCGGAGGCGAATTATTCGCACTTCTCTCAATTCTCGGAACAGCGCCATCTCTGTGGAAAATGGTCGAACAAAATGATTAATTTTCACACTGCCGTACTATAACAGAACTATCAACTCTATAATTTAATCTCCTCATCTATCGTCTATCACTTTAAGTCTGATATTTGACGTTAAGCATCTCCGACTATGTAAATCGTTAAATTCACGCATGAAGTAATAACACATGATTAGTTAAAGTAGATTATTTTCCTTTTTTATTGATTCTTCTAGGAACTCCCTGAAGGCTCCTTCCATAAATGCATTTGAAATTTATTTGAAATCTCTTTAGAATTTTTCAGGATTTTCATAAATTTCTGCTTAGATTGATCTTGGACTTCTCCCCTGCATTCAATTGGGAATTCAATTCGTATTCTCCTTAGAATTCCCAAAGTATTTCCTCTGAATTCTCAAAACAAAAATCCATCACAGAATAACTTTGAAAATCTTCTCATTGAAACCTTAATTTATTTCGAACTCTTAATAATTCTCTTGTAAGTATCTTCAGAAATCATCCCAGAATTCTTTTAGAACTATCCGCAGAGACCATCTTTGGAGTTCACGGGATTTTCTTGGTTTTTTCATCAGAGCTCCCTTAAGCGAAATTTCAGAACGAATTTTGAATTCTTATTAGAATTGGAATCCTCATCCTAGAATCTTCCTAGAATCTAGAATCCTAGAATCTCATCCAATCTTAAGATTTAAGCGAAGATGAAGAAATCGGCCCTCAGAGCACTTAATTTTACATGAGACTTTTGTAGTCTGTACTTTGGTATTCTTCTCTGACATATCTTGGTGTCATCCAAAATTCTCTTAAATTTACTTTGGATTTTTTTAAGTTCTTAACCATCCTTGAAAGACTTTTGAAAATCTATCACAGACAAATACCTTTGAAAAGTTTCCAAGGTTTACAGTTTATTTTCTGGGAAAGGAGGTACATTTTCCCCGATTTTTAATAGAAATTGAAGACATTTCCCAATAGTTTTCCTGGTGTTTCTAAAGTTACCCTGGTAAAAAATTTCAATTTTTTAACTTTGTTAAATCTACTTTGCTAAAACAACTGTAAACTTTCTTAGTGCCAAGTACCCAATCTAAACATTTCGTTGATATTTTTAAATTTCACTCTATTTTAGTAGTGAAAAAGTGACTTTAGTGACTATTTTTAGTGGTGTAAAAAGTGACTTTTTAGTGAATGGCTTCAAAATAGTGACCAAGTCACTAAAAAGAGACCTGCTACCAGCCCTGTTATCAATGCATACAAAATCACACATGTTGATTATGAATCCATCGATACCAGTGCCTTCTTTGGGGAAGTCGAAACGTCACATTTTTCATATGAACGCTTGTATGAGAACAGTCGTTTCGACTTGGTTGCATCATGTGACCCCAGGTGGAAGACATCATTAACTTTTGCAGGCATGGAAAATCGTTTATATTCATATTTGGAGCATTCGTTTACATTTATTTGCCTCTAAATTTTTTCATCAATAGATTTCCAGAAAATAATATATGAAGCTTATATTGGTGTTGATATTGGCTACAACTTTTTCAAATTACTCAAATCCGTATCTCTTATGTAACCACTGAAAAACAATAACAAGTTCTACCCGCTCTTGTTCGTCGTGCATAAAAGATACAGATTTAAGTAATTTACAAAAAGTTGTAGCTAATATCAAAACCTACAAAAGCTTCATTCATCATTGTATAAAATTAGTTAGAAGCAAATGAATGTAAATGAATGCCCGAAATGAATGTAAATGATTTTCCATGCCTGGCCACCACTACTCTAGCATGTTTGTATCATCCAGGAGCATTTTACGAGACGTTTCCAATCAGCTGATTTTTCAATAAATTCATGATTGCACTTTGACAGGAGGCAGTTAACCTAACGACTGTGAGAAGCAACATCAATATCATCAAATCTTGTCAGGCAAACTGGCTTCTGTCATTTCGTACAATGGACTATTAGACCTTAATTTATTTTTGAATATGTCCACCGCATCAGGCCACGACACTAATCGATTTTTAAATCGACGAAAGTAGCTACGGGACCGCATACTACCAGTTATGACTGTATGCTTCTGTTAATGGCAGTGAATGATCGCCTTTGACTGACGAAAGCAATTATCTGCAACTGGAACAGAACTCCATCCAATATAAATGTATAGAAATTCTACATCAGCTTATCGGTATGGAAACAATTTCCCATCAGTTTGTTGAGCATTATTACAATGAAACACCAGTTACAATCCACCCCATGCTCTTGCTCTTTCTCTTACTTTTCTAACGTTTACATCAACATCACGACAATATCTCCTGGTTGGAGAAAAAACACCCCAACTTCCAGAGTATCGATTTTCTGAGTAACCCCACGTCGAGTTGAAAACAACACGACAAACGTAAAATATAAGTCTATATTTAGTGAATGCCCTTTCCTGGTAAATCAACAACGTCCACAAAAAACAACAACAACAAACACACATAAACCTCCGGCAACGGTATACCGAAACGGATACCTACATCATCAATATTATGTTGCTCTAAGTTTTGCTTCAGTAGAATCAACCAACGGCGACGAGACGAGTGTAAAATGGAATGAACTAAAACGTAGAAGAAGGCCTATATGTAGGTACCTAGATAAACAGCAGATAGCCCAAAAAAAACTTTTCCTTTCGCCCATTTCGATCCGCCAGTGAAGACATTATCAATGCGAAATAAACTACCGTGATGCCCATCTGGGTAGAGTTATCGTTACTGCATTGTTTGCATTTTGCATCAGGCAGTGAAACGAAACTAAAATGGTGGCATCCATGTTGTTTTTCGTGTAGCGAGTTGATGATTTTGCTGCATTGGACGGAGGCCAACCATGTAGATAGGCAGGCGGCAGCCGGACCGAGAAAATAATGATTCACACTCATGTCTTCACCAGCAGCATTATAGGCATAGGTGATTGCTTTCGAGAAATCAACCATTACGGCTGATTATTTGAGAGCGTTATAAAAATTTCCGCTCAAATCATTACACAAATCGCACAAATTCAAGTTCCGCGATAGGTCCAACGAAACACTGGAGGCAACGGGGGCGGGGTTCATATGGTCTTATTATCAATCTTTCGCCATAGCGCAATGTTGTGAAACGAATGGCATTATGCATGATATAACGCAAATGGGAGAAGCAAACCACTTACCGATGGGGCAGTCGGGACGGCCGGAACTTCCGATCCACCTACCAGGGGTAGGATAGACTTCTCCGACTTCTTAGCATCCCCAAAGGGCTTCGTAAGGATGGTCATCTTGTGCTCCTATAAGAAGACTGTTCTTCCTGCTTTCTATCGTCGAGGCACGGCAAAATCAACTATAGGACGACAATTCCAAGGCCGGAATACTGAGTGGTTCTTGCTGACTAGCTAGCTAGCAACACAATGATCACTTTATGGATATTAAACTGCAATCCGAGGCAGTCAAACACGGGAAACTTGACTCGAACGATACGAATGTTATTCTTGCTCTTTTGCTACTGACGACTGCAGTTTCTACAACGTTCGATCGAAGCTCACTATGCTGGAATAAGTGAGCTGAACTAGAGATGCTCAAATTGTTATAGGTGGAAGTTGAAAAACAAATGCTAAACCGCTTAAGTTTTAGTTAGCGTGTGTTGATGGTATTTAAATGTAGTAAATTATATCCGTTTCTAAAATAACTTAGAATTTTGATTACATCAGTATATTTTTGTTACAGTAATTTTAACACTCTTGGGTCATTCGTGACTTGTCCGGGGATGAGATTTGAACTCGTGCAGATTATGACACAATTATTTTGGTCTATTTTGAATAATTGATTTGACAATTCTCGAAATAACAATCGTAGCAATGGTACACTAATAGAATTCCACACATTTTTATTGACGAATTTCCATGTAAAATTCCACATGATTTTCATGTGACCACACATAAACAGAATCCACCCAGAAGCACACATAAAGTCTATGAGTCAAATGAATAGTATGTGTGGTAAGACATGGCTTCCCGCATGAACAAAAACCATTCTTATAATGGTTTCAACCATTTTTGAACTTTACATCATATACTTACCATAGTTTTTAAAGTTATGAAATGTTTCTAATTTTGATTTTCATTTTGAAGAACCATTATTTACAATTGCAGAACTTTAGTTTTTGATATAACTATTGTAATTGAGGTTTTGCTATGCTTTCTTTCAAACCATACGACATAAACTTACAGTTTTAAGAATGGTTAGGTTATATTCGGCTATGATTCGATTTTTTAGTGATGGAAAGGAAAAACAATATAAGATTAACAATATTTATTACTAAACATCATAGAAAATACATTAACATCTAATCTGTTTGCAATGAATACTTAAGCTTACAAAAGTAAATTTCATTATTACAGTGGATTTGAATGTATTTATGAATGGGTTCGGCAAGTTTTATCATATACATAATATCATTTGAGCATGATTTTTCAAAAATGTCTTCTTCAATAGATACAGCGTCGATACATTTAAACAAAAAGTAGTAATCACACTCATATGCTAGAATTTTGTGGATCTCGCCAAGGTGATATTGATTATCGGAATCAAAAGCAAAAAAAGAGTCATTGTTTGGCTTTTCAATGTTTTTAAATTGTTTGACTTTTGGTTTGAAGAGGAAATCATTGTGATTTAAAAATGATATTTCTTCAAAAACAAGTTTATCGTTATATTTATTCACGATACTGTTAGGAATTGTGAATTTTAAGTTTTTTGATGGGATGACCGTTTTTCCCGCGAAAGTGTTTTCACAAAAATCACGTACCTTAGACTGTATATTCCAGTATTTTTCTAAATGAAACCTCGTGTGTGCCATAGTGCAACGGTTTGCAATCTGTATAAGTGGTTCATATGGTCCTTTAACGAATTTTTTTAGCATACCATTGATGTCTTCATAGAAAAATAAGGAAAACGCCCATAGAGGCCCAAAGTCTCTACAGCACTCGACTAAGTGCATGAGCAAATGGACATTATAGTTCATTTCATCTAAACTGTACAAAACCTCAAAGTCTTTAACGAATTTGTGTAATTTCAGCTCACAAGAATCCAATGTTTCATTGTTTATATTATTTTGTAATAACCAGGGTTGCTTCCACTCACTTGCTATAAAAACATATCTTTCGGAATTATGCAATCATTAGATGATATAAAGATATGCTGTACTTGTAAGTAACGAGAAGAAGGTTTAAAGTATGTGTTTGACTCATAAAACCTGTCAATTTTGCTTTCAGAGCGTCACAATAAGCGATCTTATGATTCGTGAGCGTTCACTCAGAGTGAGCACTCACGAGTCGTAAAATTGCTGATTGTGACGCACTGAAAGCAATATTGACAGATTGTATGTGTCAAGCACATACTTCACGTCCTGATCTTGTAACTTACAAGTACTAATTATTACTATACCATCTCATGATTTACAGTGTTCACTCGGCTGTCGACAAAAGCAGGCCACTCTCGATGTGTGCTACGCGATCGTCTGTTTTCTCGGCAGCAACCATTGTGTGGTCCTCCTCATTGTTCTTCATCAGCAGTTCTTTCGGTCGATGCGTCGTTGACTTTGGAAAGCAACCGTTTCGTGATGAGTGTGTGAGTGCTGACCACGTTTTGCGTCCATTGCTGCAATGGACGCGCTCTGACCCTCGTTGGCGTACAACAATTTGCCATACAATGAAACTACTGGAAGCGGCTCCAGTTCTGATGGAGGAGGCTTTTTGGATAGCGGAAGATAAAGTGTTTATTGTGTTGTACCTTTTGACTATAGTTTTAAGATGTATTGTATAGTGACCAAGAATCCTCGGCTCTGTAAAGTTAATTCGGTTGAGCCTTATCAAATAAATTAATAAACAAAAAAAAAAAAAAATCTCATGATTTCATAATTCTGAAAAACATTTTTTTATAGCAAGTGAGTGGAAGTAACCCTGGTAATAACTCTGTTATGGAAGTGACCAAAATTCTATAATTTTCATAATATTTAATTGGCAAAAGATGTTTTAAACAAACAGAGCTATAATGCAAAAACCATTGAAGCCATTCATTTGCTTTCCACGAGCACCGTTCAGATATTTTCCGCGCTGATCTGGACGCTTCAGTAAAAGGACTTATAGTGATTAAAGCTTCATCAATGAGCTTTATTTTAGTCTTAATATAGTACGGTGTGTTTGGCTTCTCAAACCAAATTTTGCACAGCTGCTTTACTACGCCTAACAAAACGCCATGCATAAAATCAACAGGACATTGTTTTACAACGTCGAAATACGGAATTAGTATCAAGGAAGATACACCTTTGACTCCACTTATCGGAATTCCCCTTGAACTGCTGACTGCCATCGCTTTTAGGGTGTCCGTATAGTTACGTACCCTAATAAAAAATAACCATAAACGAACGATAACCCAAATCATTGAACTATTCCACAAATGGTTTGGATGATTCCCAGAACACGTCGTTAAGCAAATTAACCATACAATTTTTATTAGGGTAGTTTTACGCCTTCCAGGAACCCATATTTGACTTGACTACCGGAAGCATGATGGCCTGGGTGCAAACAATAGCTACACGCATTATACCCATTGAACTGTTTGAAATTTTGAAGCTTACTTCGTGCTAAGGTATCTACGCAACAAGCAACAGTCCTCACAGATGAAATAAACGTAGTTCCAATATGCAAACCTTCCAGAAACATTGTTTTCAGGGTCAAAAGAAATGGTTTCAAAAACACAAAAACTGGTTCACTGCAATGCATCCACAATCCTCCGATTAGAGCGTTTTTACGTAGAAAGCGCAAGTGAGGTGGAAGCTCGTTGATTACAGCTATAATAGGCCACAATGAACGCTTGTTGTTGGAATTGAACACTTTTACACCATCGGTATTAAAATTTAGTGAAACGCTGTTCAATGACAATTCCCTTTTTGAAACTGCCGCGTTAACTATATCCGTTATGACTGTCTTTTGTTGAGCTTCTTGGACATATTGTTGAATTTTTAGCCAATTTTTTTTCAGTATATCACGCAAATTCGATTTGAAGTCAAACATAATAAAATAGAAGTTCCTCCTACTTTTACAGTTAGTACATGCCATGTGCTCAACACCAATGTAAAGTCCACAGTCTTCACATACAAAATGTTTTTCGTATTGATTTGCGGAAAAGAAATCATGGAATTTTCTGTACGTTTCCGGTAGAGTTTTGAACCCAATTATTAGATTCAACATTTTGAGGAGATCCACGAGAGCAGCATTCGTAAAGTTATGTCTCATGAATAAATTCATAAGCATAACCATGATCTCAAGTCTGGTAATAGCCAAATTAGGATGTACAGGTGATTGCATATATTCGTTCTCCTTTAATAAGAAAAAAATATGTAATCAATTATCCCAAGTTTCAGTTCAATCTGTCGAACCATCGAAAAATCCTCCTCAACGTCATAATAGCTTGTATTATCACATTCATCGTCGTTAATCTGGTCAGAATCATTTATGGCTTCGTCGTTATCTTGGTCGTTATTTTCTTCCATTCGTTCATCCAGACTTACACTTTTAACTTGGCTTTTTGTATTGTCGTTTTTTATCATTTCACTTGATAATGTTTTTTTTATTGCTACTAGTTCGTCATGAGCGGCTATGTTTCCAAATGTCCAAATGATGCATGATGTTCTACGGCGTCCTAAATACATATATATGTTTGTATTTGATAATATCAAGTTATGTGTCGTTTGACTTAGAATAACCGATTTCACAAAATTTGAACACAATACAATATCATCTGTAGCAGGAACTTCATCACAGACAATTGATGCGGGAAGTTGAAGAATATCTGGGGAATCTTTAGAGGATGTCAAGTTCTTCTGCAATCCAAAATTTTCTTTACGTAAGTTGAAAACCAACATGATGTATCATACAATTACCTTTTTTTGATCTTTTTGCAACCGGAGCACTTTTATTCAAGCCAAAAAGTTTACTCAATCGAGGAGCACGGGAACGCTTCATTTTTTCGATTTAATTTCGACTTTAACCAAATCAAAACAAAGCCCGAGTTTTCGTTGCTACAAAATAATATTGATAAACGTTCAAACCATTTACCTTTCTATATAATAAAATTCGAAAACATTGGTCATATATTTTCTCTAACGATACAAAATTTTACACTAACTTTATCGTGAACAGTTACACACATACTTTGGATATCCTCGTAGAGCTACCTATTTTACTCAATTTATAGGTAACCCAGTATTAGCGTGTATTGGCTTGAAACATCTTTGCTTTTGCGACGCCATTCCCCATTTTTTGTTCCAGAAGCTCACCGAAAGAGGAAGACTCGCTGCAAGATGCCGCCGAAACCTGCGCCGAAAAAGAAATGTGATCGCGTTAAAAAGCTGAATCAGCGTAAGTATAATTTAATTTCTACTCATTCTACCGGTAATAACACAAGTACTGGACTAAGTATTGAACGAAGACGAACACTTTTTTCTTTTCTCTTACAGGTGAATCGCGTCCAAATTCATCAGAAAATGTGGATCCAAATGCTCGTTCAGCGCATTCGCTGAATTCGGTAATGATACAGGAAGAGGTGAGTTGTGAAGATTGTTTACAATGAATATTGATTCTGCAGACACTTTCGAAGCAATCGCGGATCTCTAGATTATGATTCATTAATTCTCGCTTAAAAATTGAAAAGGGCCAATAATTTTTTTTAAGCAAACATTTGTAGGCCAGTTACTCGCTGACTGAAGTACGCCACGCAAACCAACAACATTATCGGGAGGGGTAGAGTTTCTCCTAGGAGTTGTTCACATATTACTTAACACTCTAAGGGGGGAGGGTCTGCCAAACTGTTACGGTCCATACAAGCATTTTAGAGTTCCCATACAAAATTTGTTACGTATGGGGAGAGGGGTCAAAATTTGTTAGCGTTAAGTAATATTTGAACGAGCCCCTACCCGATGATGTCGTTGGTTTGCATCGGCGTACTTCGGTTGGCAAGTGAAGGGCCTACAAATGTTTTTTTACAAAAAAATGTTGGCCCTTTTCAATTGTTCAGCGAGAGTTGACCTATCCGGATTAGACAAGATTTAATGGTGTTAAACATTCAGTAATACTAATCTGTTTTCTTTCTTTTCAGCTGAAAAAGCTTCTCGCTAGTCAAGGAGAGCATCTTACCCAGGCGGGATACACTTTTGTTTCGGCAAATGATCCCCAAATCAACGATTCCCCAGATCCAGAATCGCAAGATCCGCTTGCTTCATCTACGATGGCGTTTGAGGATGAGCAACAGTTGGATGACATCCACGAAGAAGAGGATAACCAAGTTAATCTGAAGGACGATACGCAAAAACAAATCCCGGATGTCACAATGCAAGATTCAGCTTTAAATCTGTCCATGCATGCATCGCCAAAAGTAAGCACCAATGCAACGCCGGCGCCTGAAGTCGCTTGCAGAGTGAGCGACCAGGAAGAAATGGAGGTGTTGCTTTTGCAACCTACGCATGACGGTGCAAGTGTTCCTCCACTTGTGGCAGATTCCTTGGCAGGCCCTTCTAGAGCTGTTGTTCCATGTTCTACAAATACCGAAAGATCCCAAATCATATTGGTGAACATTGTGGAACATGATCCTGTCCCGGATGGTGAAGTTTTGACAAACAAATTGTGCGCCACATGCTTGTCACTAGCTGACCAAATGATTCAAGAGGCTAACAAGAAGGTTAAGGACACAGCCAAAGAAGTCAAAAGGCTTCGCAAAAGGGCAGAAGAGGCTGAGCGAGCTAAAGTTCAGTCCGACGATCTGGCTCTATCTCTGTCACGAGAGTTACAGGATCTTAAGGAACAACAGAAGATTCCATCAGTAAGTATCGAAATGTAAAAATTTATATCATTATTAAAACTTTTATCCTAAAACATAATTATTATTTATTCCAGATGAGATTCACAACGAAACCGGAAATAGAAATATCTTATGAGAAGATTGTGGAGATCAATGATGAATCGTCAACCGACAGTCTGTTTGTAGCCAATTTGGCTATATTTTTCTTAGGAACCGAAAGGCTGAAACGTATGAGCTGTACCGGCAAACCGACACCACGTTTCATAAATCTACAGAACCCTGATGGTTCGTTGATGTACCCCGCCAGGGAGCAAATCGACCCAAAGATTTTTAAGTTTATTCACGGTAACTTTTGTTTATTATCAATTGTACTTATTGTTTATTATCGATGAAAAACAAATATTTTTTTATTTTCAGAAAAGCTGACCAAACGCGTAGCTCTTCGACTTGGAGTCCATAAGGTGAAGGAAGTATCGTTTGTGGCAAATGAGCATTTCGTTCGAAAATTCATCGCCCAAAAAATAAGCAACATGAATAAGGCCGATGCAAAACGCGTCCAAGATAAACCACAAGAAACTCTTCAATAGAAGCAGCAACTCTCGACTACACCATTGTTATGACCTTACATACTATTCCTTTCACTGCATTACTTTGTTAAAAGCGAAGTAGGGTACAGAAACCCGGATTATTGTTAAGATTCATACTTTTTGCATTTCATACTTTATGCTATTTTAAACTTACGAAAACAAATCTAAAAAGTGCAAAATATTTTGTTCAAACGAGGTTAAGGGTACTGAAACCCACATTACTGTTAAGTTTCGTTCTGTTTTGTTAAATAAAACATCAATTTTTAAAATTATATATATTTTTTTATTATCCAGAGCTGAGAGAATAAAAAAAAACTTATTAGAACATTACAATGTATGGTTAGAGGTTTATAAAACCATTCATTTACTCTATTATCAATCTTCTCGATATAATTGTTCAACCTCAAAAATAAATTAAAATTAATGGTTCAAAGTTCCTTTTAAAATCACATACGAACATTAAACACAATGGTTATAAGCAGCTCTTTTCAGAATATTGAATGAATGGTTCAAGAAAGGTTCGCTGAAAAAATATGTGTGAAAATTCTTCATTTTCAGTATGGTAATTATACTTAACAGCCTATTGATTTTATGGTTGACTCTCTTAAAACGATTTATGATATGGTTAAAATCATATTATCTATGGTTGAGCTATAGTTTGTAAACCATTGATGATATGGTAAGCTGGTGGAAGATAAACCATTCGTAGTATTGTTCAAGTATGTTTAGATTCTATGCGGGTTTTAAGTGTACACGTATTAAGTATGTGTCCAACACATATATATATTGTTTGTTGATCACATTGTAAAAATTCATGTGTGGTACACATAAAAACAATCTTTGAAATTTTATCAGTGTAGGATTTCAAGGTCATTTTTTCATTTTTAATTTTAAGTTTTTTTTTTCCTGTGCTTCCTGACGCATGACGAATATATACGTTTTATCTGCGGGATCGTATACCTTGTCTAATTTTACGTTTTTCGTTATAAGTCAGGTAGCACAGTAGAGCTTTTCTATCGATGATTTCAAGGCCATTTTAACGTTTTCAATACTATTTTGGGCATTTTATACCCTGTACAGACTACCCAAGTAACCGCTAATAGCCGGATATTCGCCTTTTGTGAAATATGAGGTTAATATAGGGCTTCAATACTTTTTATCAGCCATATATCAGCTTTATATTACAAAAAAGGGCGATTAGCGGGCTTGATGGTTACTTGGGTATGGCTTATATCAGGCTGTCTTGCAATACATAGTCTCATACATAGGATTTCGAGTAAAAACTAGATGTATGAGTGCTCATTGCAAGACAGCCTATATTACATGATATAAGCCATAGTCTGTACAGGGTAATACCAACAGTAGGAGGCGAACCAGCCCAGGCTGAAAGCCTCCCTAATAAAGATAAATTAATTAATTAATACCAACCGGTGAACACTCGTGTTTATTTCAGTTACCGTGGGGACGTTATTTGGGATTAGCCCCGGTCCCTTTCAAATTGTATCATTATTTATGATTGGTCCTTATATTTGAAATGACGTTTCAAATTCAAATTTAAATTCATCATTCGAATAATTGATTAATCGATTAATGAACCGAAAAGTAAAATATTTGTAATCGGTTATATCATGCCGATATAAGCATTAACATCTCCAGAGGATCATCACCGATCGTTTCAAACGTATGCTGCTTTCTCATTGGTGGAAAAATGGCAGCACAGTGAACAAAAAAATAATCGATTAGTTGTTAATCGAGTAATTAAAAAATGGGACATCTCTGATTTTGGTGTGATTGTTTTAATAAAAATGAGCGCAAAATTTCATCTCTACCGAAGGGGCAACAAAACCACAAAATAACCTTGAATACGGGGGTATTCATTGGATGAAAGGCACCGTGAAAGAGGACACTAAAATACTAAAATAGAAAGTTTTTTTTCCGACAGTTTCATCTTAGTATCATCTTTGGTAATACCGAAGTTTTGGAATGTTGAGAGTCATTTAGGCGTTTGTAAGATGCTTGTAGGCCTTTTTTTGTGTCTTTAAGGCCGTTTTAAACTTTTTAATGTTTTTTTTTTCGTTCCAGCAAATGAAGGCTTTCAAGCGTATTGAAGCGATTTCAGTGTCAAAGATTTTATTTATTCATACACTAATAAAAAATCAATGATTATTTGTATGTGCCCTACACATGAATTTTTGCAATGTGATAAACAAATGATATATATGTGTTGGACACATAGTTCTAACATAGAGGTAACTCTAAGACCACTGGGTCCCGAAGAAAATCATTATTATTTTTGGCTTACTCAGTACCAGAACAACGGTCCCAAGCAGTCCCAAGCTATTTCACTCACCCCTGCATGTTCTGCATGAATCCACACACCCCTGATGTTATCTGTCAAACTTTCATAGCGAATCAAAACAAACATAGTGTAGTAATAGAATTTCAACTAGAATAGGGTACGTTAATCGTTTGCTTGGGACCAATAGGCTACTAAAGTGGTGAGCCAATTTAAAATCGTTAGTTTCGTATTGATTGTTGGTTCTAATGTGTACACACAAAATACTATTCATTGACTCATAAATTCCATGTGTACCTCTGAGTGGATTCAGTTGATGTTGTTACATTTTGCCCACCATAGGCAAGTCAACTCCATTTCCCAATAAATCAGGCGTAACATTTGATAACGGCACAAAAGCTTTTGTAAACAAACTTTTTAAGGCCGTTTACACGTGAACCGAAGTACGCTCACGCAAACCAACAACATCATCGCATAGGAGCAACTATCACTTTTTCGAAAGTGGTATTGGTTTGCGTGGGCGTACTTTAGTTAGCGTGTAAAGGGCCTGAGCCGTTATCAAATGTTGCGCCTGAAATGTTCAAATATTTTTGAAAAAGTTAACATCCCAACATACCCACTTCCATGATACGAAAACAGAAACAACAAACAAATTTGCTTTTAAGAGTGAGAGACTAGCAACCATACGAAGAACGACGTATACAGCCTTCGTTGTTTGTGACGTTTTAAATACAAATACCACTCGCTGTGTCCCGCTCACGCCAATCTCTACCGAGATACATGCGCATAACATGCAACGCTGGTTCTGGGTTCAACACCTAGTTGGCACATCATGGCAGTTTTAGCCTTTTAGCTCAAATACGCGAACTGAATAGGCCTCTAAATCTCGTCATCTTGGAAAAAAGGCTTGATGATGCAGATTCCAATATTTTGTAGTTTTCCAATTAATTTAATTAGGGGAAATGGATGTAATGCCGGTCTAAATGCCCCTAATTTGAACCCATACATAAATTCAGCAATCAATTTCAATTTTGATCAAAACTATCCATTAGCACCGTTCCAATGACGCGTTCCACTTGATAAAATTGATAAATACGAGGATAAATAGCAGATTATTAGTGATGGGCCCAGTCTTAGATCCATAGGACAACATTAGAGCCATTTCCCCTATTACTGGGGAAAAAGTCAAAATCTTCCTATTTGAATCACTTTTATAAAAAAAATTTAAACTTATAATATTTAAAACAATACGTCTATGGGGTATCCCTTGAATTTTCCTACCCCGTAGTCATTGAAAAAAATATTTTTTTTAAATAGAAGCATTTTAAAATTTTAATCCTGGAACAGGAAAAATTGAGAAAGAAGAGGGAAAATAGAAATTATTGCAGGCAGAATCACGTAAAATTATCCGACAGTGTGGATTGAATATTCTGGATATGTGTGAGCACTGAATTGTGATTGTAATTGTCGACCATATATCTGGTTTACCCCCAGTGAAATATTCTCCAGTAGACTGATCGTATGTATGACCCTGAACGGTAGTTAAGCACCCCTTATACGCTTTTAACCATTCAAAGAAATAACTATCAAACCACATAGAAAAAAATGTTGTTGAAAATTACATCAAAAACAGCTGCACAGAGGTCATTCCAACCGGTGAACACTCGTGTTTATTTCAGTTACCGTGGGGACGTAATTTGTGATTAGACCCGGTCCCTTTCAAATTGTATCATTATTTATGAACGGTCCATATATTTGAAATGACGTTTCACATTCGTCTAGTGATGGCCGATTTTCATTCGAATAATCGTTTAATCGATTAACGAACCGAAAAGTAAACTATTTGTAATCGGTTAGATCATGCCGATATAAGCATTAATATCTCCACAGGATCTATAACGGATCGTTTCAAACATGTGCTGCACTCTCATTGGTGGAAAAATGGCAGCACAGCGAACAAAAAATAATCGATTAGTTGTTAATCGAGTAATTAAAAAATGGGACATCTCTGATTTTGGTGTGATTGTTTTAATAAAAATGAGCGCAAAATTTCATCTCTTCCGAGGGGGCAGCAAAACCACTAAATTACCTTCAATACGGGGGGTATTCATTGGATGAAAGAGGACACTAAAATAGAAAGTTTTTCTTCCGACAGTTTCATCTTAGTATTCATGAATGATGCATCTTTGGTCATTCCGCTGGTTGTGTAATATTACGTTTGTAATTTGCGTACCAACTTGGGCAACTTGCAAAATGTACCATTTGAGGTACTAGTTTAAAATAGTACAATCAACCGGTGGAAACTAACGATTTTAAATTGGCTCACTACTTGAATAGCCTATTGGTCCCAAGCAAACGATTAACGTACCCCATTCTAGTCGAAATTCTAGTACTACCCAATGTTTGTTTTGATTCGCTATGAAAGTTTGACAGATAACATTAGGGGTTCGAGGATTTTCCTTTGTTTTGAGGAGTGCATCGATTAGCTTGGGACCGAAGAGAGTACCAGAGCTGAGCCAAAAAGTTGAGCACGTTTCTTCGGGACCTTCTGGCACAAACGAAGTGACAGACGGAGCGGCTCGAAAGCTTTGGCGACTAACCTGCTATTTCAATTTTTCAGTGTACCACATGGCAATACCACTACTACTGGATTGTACCACATGGCAACACTACTACTAGATTGAACTAGCATTTTCACCAAATGTACTAGAATGTTTTGGTTCTATCTCTTTCACTCTACTCAAAACTGAAATGCATAAAAAAATGACAAAATGATACGCACTCTTTGCACACTGTCAAAGAAACATTGTACACAAAATCAACTTTGTTCAAATCAAAACAAAAAAACTAACCCATCTGGTGGATGATGGCACAGCTTCCAAGAAAATTCTATTACAGTGAACCACATTATTTAAATGGATTTCTTCGCCAGTTAGTCGTCTGTCACTTCGTTTGAGCTTCTGGTCTTAGAGTTACCTCTATGGTACCAGAGCTGAGCCAAAAAGTTGAGCACGTTATTTCGGGCAAGTTACCTCTTAGAGTTACCTCTATGGTACAACGTAACTCTAAGACAAGAAGGTCCCTAAGAAACGTGCTCAACTTTTTGGCTCACCTCTGGTACTCTCTTCGGTCCCAAGCTAGTCGAATCACCCCTCGAAACATATGAAAAACCAATAACCCCTCATTTTATCTGTCAAACTTTCATAGCGAATCATAACAAACATTGTGTAGTTCTAGAATTTCGACTAGAATGGGGTAAATTAATCGTTTGCTTGGGACCAATAGGCTAGTCAAGTAGTCAGCCAATTTAAAATCGTTAGTTTCGTATTGATTGTTGCCTTTACTGCTTTTAATAAGCCTTTTCTTCACATAATTCGGCAACTCTTTTTATTCAGCATTGTATCAACAATCAATACGAAACTATCGATTTGAAATTGGCTCACTGCTTGACTAGCCTTTTAGTCCCAAGTAAACGATTAACGTACCCCATTCTTGTCGGAATTCTAGTACTACACTATGTTTGTTTTGATTCGTAACACAACGTAAACAAAGGGATTGTCCTTCACCGCTCTATGGTACAACGTAACTCTAAGACAAGAAGGTCCCTAAGAAACGTGCTCAACTTTTTGGCTCACCTCTGGCACTCTCTTCGGTCCCAAGCTAGTCGAATCACCCCTCGAAACATAGGAAAATCCAATAACCCCTCATTTTATCTGTCAAACTTTCATAGCGAATCAAAACAAACATTGTGTAGTACTAGAATTTTGACTAGAATGGGATACGTTAATCGATTTGCTTGGGACCAGTTTATTTAAAATCGTTAGTTTCGTATCGATATTGATCCCTTGTAGTTTTTTTCTTCCTTTATTCATTTTCCGTCGATCTTGTTTTCCGTACTGAGTACCAATGCTACCGACGCCAGGGAGGCAGCTTCCATCCCTGGACCCTACCTATTAACCCATCAACTCATGAACCGGGGACCAACGGCTTTACTTCCCTTCCGAAGGAAGGCGTGATCAGAGATGTTATGCCTCAGAACATCCCGGCGGCGCCGACTGGGATTGAACCCAGGCCTGCTGGGGTGAGAGGCAATCACGCTTACCACTACACCACCGCTAACACAAAGTTTTACGAAGTAGGGGAAATGTAGGTAATGTCGGCCTGCATGTCCCTAATTTGGGCCCATCGCTAAAAGTCTGCTATTTATCAATTTTATCTAGATGAACGCGTCATTAGGACGGTACTAATGGATTTTTTTGGTCGCTATTGAAAATTTAGTCGATTGCTGAATTTATGTATGGACCCAAATTAGGGACATGTAGGCCGACATTACCTACATTTCCCCTATATAGTTTAAATTAGCTATGTGAAGAAATGGACTCAAGTACCATCATAGTTAACTCATCTTGATGACAAATCCCGATTTTAAAAGCACCAAACCAACTGTTACAAGCAAACCGATATGCTGTAACACACTTGCCCTTTAGATACGGCACATGCTATATCACTCTGCCACTAGTTGTACAGTAGGGAATGCTCCCATAAACCAGCAGCAGCGGGTGGCACTCCTTAGTATCCACGCCTTCGACCGAACTGTGAATAAAGAGCAACAACCACTACCACCGTTGTTTAACTGGTAAATAATGTGCCACTCCTACAACTCTATTTCCGCCGTTGGTATGGAATTTTGCTGAACTAGGAAAAACAGGGTTGGCAATAGTCCTAGCACTTTCCTCGAGCCAAGCATTGACCACATTTGAGTCCGCTCCTGGTGACTGTGGAAACCAACTGGGCGCGATAAATTTGATCCTTGACACACACACACACCACCCGTATTACAGCAGTAGCAGCAGTAACAGCAGATTGGCAATGCTCTCTGGCAGGCAGTTGTGATAAGGATCTTCAATCTTCAACACAAGTGAGAGTGAAGAATTGCGTCAATTTAAAAAAAAAAACAGCCCCACATATGAACGATGGACCACGAGGCGGAAGCCATTTTCGAACATGAAACCAACCTGGGACTACGAGTGTGGCATCTGTTGTTCCTCTGCCTCGGCTCGGTGCTGGGTATAGTGATTATGCTGTGCTGCTGCTTCCGGTTCCGAATTCCCCGTACCAAGCAGGACATCGAGGCGGATTACCAACGGAAGAAGCTGACCAGGAAATTTCGCGAACGATTGGACTGCATGAACAATGCCGAAATCGACGAGATGGATTTGATGAAAGGTTCGCTTCCCGATGGGTTTGATTGGAGGAATTTGTGATTTTGAATTTATTTATTTATTCGTAGCACTGGAACGAGTACGTGAGGAATGCCTTGTAGAGCAGCAGAAGAATGCGAATATTGATAACCAGATTGTGAATGACATCTACGGAAATGTCTAAGGATTTTTTATTGCGATTGCGATGTTCTTGTAATAAAATGGTGTCATTTGGCATCTTGAACTTTTGATGTACATGAGAAAGTTTTTCACTGTCTTTAAAGCGGCTTTCCACTTCCAGAAAGTTATTTTCTATTCCCAAGTTCAAATAATGGTTGTTTTATAGTAGTTTAGTTTTTAAGCAGTCTCTTTGCAGTACAAGTTTTTATCATATCTGAAATAATGTTTTTTTAGCTGTGTTCAAAATGTGTTAATGCCATTTCAAGTTATCTATTTACAGCCCAAATTTGAAAGTGATACGAGAATTTACGTATTCTCGGCAATCCAAGCAGCGTCCACGTTTCTATAAGCTTTTTCTCCATGTAACGCAAACATTTAGTAGTAAAATTTACGTTTATTTGCTGGTTTTCTTATGTATCAACATTTGGTGTAAATATTTCAATTGGTTAGCCTTTGGCTCTTCATCTTTGTTCTAGTTAATTGGTTATTCTAATGTGATGATTGCGTTTAGTGCTAATTTACAGAATACCCTTTATGGAATTGTTTTGGTTTGAATAAAAAAAATTGATAACCTACCTACTTGAGCACAGGAATCTGCCTAACTACTTAAACTAGGTTGCCAAATCACGAATGATCTGGTGGTTTGATCGCAGAAGGCGACTCTGAACCTTTCCAGCGTGGACGTCTTTCGCTCCTCGAGTGTTTGAAGACGTCGCCAGGTGGTACATCTCAGAATGACGAGTTCGCTGTGGACTGTTAAGGATCATTCTGAGGATCTTGTTTTTGATCCTCTGAAGCTTTAGCTGGTGGCACGTAGCACAACTCTCCCAGATTGGCATACCATACTCAATAGCCGGCAGAATGATCTGCTTGGGGACAGCAAGCTAGTTTTTGAGGGACAGGGTGGACTTCCTGTTTATCAGAGGGTAGAGTGACCTGATCAAGATGTTACACTTGGTAGATGTCTTTTCCACATGAGATCGGAATAGCAATTTGCTATCGAGAGTGAGACCAAGGTAGACTACTTCACTCGACCATTCAATGGGAGTGTTATCAAGATGGACCTTGACGTTAGCAGGTGGAACAAGCCAAGGTGAATTCTAGTGTGGAAACAGAATGGTTTGTGTTTTAGCTGCATTGATACAAATCTTCCAGCTCTTGAAATAGTCGGACAGAACGTCCAGGCCTGATTGTAGTTTACTCGCCAGAGCACGGACACTCGACCCTTATAGATGATGGAGATGTCATCTGCGAACATTGACAGGATACCACCACCCGGAAGGGGTGGAACGTCTGGCGTGAAAATGTTGAATAGGATAGGCCCAAGCAGGCTACCCTGAGGGACCCCTGCATCAACGTTGAACGTATCAGAGGGGACATTGTTCAAGTAGACCTGGAATGATCTGCCCGACAAGTAGTTTTTGGTGATCTTCACGAGGTGTATTGTTCTCAAAGTTCTGTGCAAAGTTATCCTGAATCGGATACAGGAGACGCGACTCTCCGACGGCAGCAGGCAGGATTTCGTGCCGGAAGATCTTGTGTGGACCATATTGTCACGCTCCGCATCATCCTGGAGCAGGTCAATGAATTCCAAGAGCCCCTTTATTTGGTATTCATAGACTACGAAAAAGCTTTCGACCGTCTCAATCACGAGAATCTGTGGGGCGCCCTGAGACGCAAGGGAGTCCCGGATAAAATCGTCAACCTCATCGAAGCGCAGTATGAGGCTTTCACGAATTATGCAGAGTTCTGCATAACGGTGCCTTGTCCGACCCTATCCGGGTAGTCGCAGGTGTGAGACAAGGATGTATACTATCACCGCTACTGTTTCTCATCGTAATCGACGAGATCATGGTAGGTGCAATTGACCGTGTACCGAACCGTGGGCTGCTTTGGCAGCCTATCACCATGGAGCATCTCAAAGACTTTGATTTGGCTGATGATGTTGCTCTACTAGCACAACGGCGCTCTGATATGCAAAGTAAGCTCAATGACCTAGCCGAACGCTCCTCTGCGGCGGGTCTCACCATCAACGTCAACAAGACTAAATCGTTGGATATCAACATGGGCAACCCTTCCAACTTTACGGTAGCGGGGCAAGCAGTGGAGAAGGTCGAAAGTTTCCAATATCTTGGCAGCTAAATAGCGTCGGACGACGGTACCAAGAGCGACATAGGTGCACGAATCAAGAAGGCTAGGGCTGCCTTTGCGAGTTTACTATTTTCAACTCAAACGTGAAATCTGTGTTGTTATACGCCAGCGAGACGTGGTGTGTATCAGCGGAGAACACTCAAAAGCTGCAGGTCTTCATCAACCGATGCCTGTGGTATATAATTCGTGCCTGGTGGCCTCACAACTGGATCTCGAATGCCGAGCTCCATCGTCGATGTCATCAGAAGCGGATAGCAACAGAAATTCGAGAGCGAATGTGGAGGTGGGTCGGCCACACACTTCGACGGGGCGGAAACGAAATCTGCAAGCAAGTGCTGGATTGGAATCCGGCAGGACATCGCAGCAGAGGCAGACCCAGGGGCTCATGGCGGCGGAGCCTCAATAAGGCGGCGGAACCTCAATGGGCCCAGGTCAAGGCAAAAGCGAGCAGCCGCCCAGGATGGAAGTCTTTCACGTTGGCCCTTTGCACCGCTGGTGGTGCACAGGACCCTTAAGTAAGTATGTTCACGAGGTAGATCGGAAAGTTGTATCGATGCAGCTTGTACACTAGACCATCATGCCAGACATTGTCGAACGCCTTCTCGAAGTCCAACAATGCCATGGCAGATGTATTGGAAACGGACTTATTCCGCTCGATGATGTTAGTAGCCAGTGCGAGTTGGTGGATGGAAGAGTGGCCTTTCCTAAACCCGAATTGCTCTTTGAGAAACATGTTATTATCATTTGAGAACACCAGCAAACGGCTGAGTATCAACTTTTCGAATAGCTTCGAGATTATTGACAAGAGGCTAACGGGGCGATAGTTTTTGGCACTGGTAGGTTTTTGCCAGGTTTGTGGATTGGAATGACTTTGGCTAACTTCCAGCATGCACTTATTGAAGACCGCTGCAAGGTACTCCAAGAAGTCAACACTCAAGTTTTTCAACTCGAGGGTGAGCACTCCATCGACACCAGCGACCTTCATGTCCTTCTTTGATTTAATGGCACCTATCACCTAATCAGTCGATATTCTACTATCATCATTCACATTGCCTCCAGTACGGCAGGCCCATGGGGGCTCACCATGGTTTGGCCAAGATTATGTGAAATCACAATATGTTGGCCAAGAGCATTGGCCTTTTCAACTGGGGTTATGAGTAGGGATGGGTCCAAGTTCTGGTCAACAGAGGAAAGTGGAGGGGAGAGAGCGAATCTTGTTGGTAAAATAGTTATTTCTGAGTCCCACCATCGTGGCCTGGATAATTTTGGTTAGCCTATTGACATTGGTCTTCAAGTGGGGCAACCCAGCAAGCTGGAACTGCCTACGAATGGTGTTACGGAGCCTGATAAGATCTTTGGTTGGGCTGCCAAGGTTCAGAGTTTGACTCACCTGTCTGGATGCTGGTACGTGTTGCTCCCTGGCACGGGATATCGCCTCTTCGATGGTTTGCAGACACCGATCGACTTCTTCGAACGACTCCGGTAGGACGTCGTAGTCGATTGCTGTGTCCACACAGCGCTGATACTGCTGCCAGTTGACACGATGATAATTTCGCCGGGAAACTTGAAACCTATTGGCCGAGGAACCTACTTCGGCCACCACCGGATAGTGGTCCGAGCTCAGTTCCTGATTGGCGACAGGTTGAGAGATGTTATCGTCAATGTTGCTGATGAAGATGTCGACGGTGGCATGAACTCCGGATCGACTCAACCGGGTGGGTGTGTCCGGACACAGGATGTTGTAGTGGGCTTCCTGCAGATCGTTCTGGTTTCGCCGACTATTGCCCAGGCTTGATGCTTGGCGTTCAGGTCGCCAGCGATGACGAAATTTTGCCGCCGTCGTGTTAGCTTGATGATGTCTCTTCGGAGGTCTGCGGCCGAGCCGTCCCTAATGTTGGTTTGCTTGGGGTAGTAGACCGCGATGATGGTGATTGGACCAAGCGATGTGCTCACCTCAACTCCGATAGTTTTCAGCTGGAAGCTTGGTAGTAGCCGGCAGCTGATGTTTCGTCTCGCAGCGATGGCCACTCCCCTCCCCCGGAGCTGGTGCGATCAAGCCTTGCGAGCCGAAATTCGGGAAGGAAGACGTTCAGTTCCGGCTTCAAGTGAGTCTCGGTGATGACGGCTATGACGGATTTCACGCCAACTCATCCAGTGGTTGGCAGCACCCTCTCAGAACCTTATGGAACTTTGTGGGTGTGGAGACTTAGCAATTTTAAGCAACTTTGCGTACTTATTTTTTTCAAAATTTATCTCGCCTAACATTTGATAAGGGTCAAAGTTTTTTGTCAATTTTTTTTCAAATCGATATAGCTTAAAAATGACAAGCCCTACAAAATAGTGATGTATGGCGAACTTTTAGCAAATAATCTGAAATTTTATAAAAAAATTTAAATAAATTAAAAAATTGGTTTCTACACTCTAAAAAAATATATTTAAAAATTAAAAGTCATTTTCCCAAAAATGCTACCTCTCAGATTTGCTTGATATTTTTTCTCATGAAAGGCAATATAATTACCTAACTTTTCTTCATACATCGCAAAGTGGGCGCTTTTAAGGAAAAAAAGTTGTAAGAACAACAACTTCTTCATGTTAATTTTTTTTTAGCGTGTTTCACTCAAAGTCGAATAGTAATACGCGCACAACCTTATTAAAATTCGATTAAACTTTATGGGTATACTTTTCGATAATCTGGGCGAAATCTAGCCTAACATTTGAAAACGGGTACAGAGAAGTTACCTGCAAATCGTCCAATAAGAGTTCAGAACAAAACGTTCTAATGAGGAACAGCCATCTCAGCATGGTTTGCACTTTCCTGTGATGGATTGTATTATAATATATGCATACACTCTA